CACTTTGATCCTATGCAGAAAAACCCGGCGCCCTCATGCATGCTGCTTTGTTCTGTAGCCATGAAAGCACACTGACTGATGTTGACATTTCTGCTGACGATGTTCAGCAGGTGGTTGACTGTCCCCTGATGGAGAACAGACAGATCTCCTAGAATTCTGGGCCGGCGGAAATATCTGAAACGGATGCCAATGCCATGCATGGTTGCGGCGCGTGCACGCGGTTCTGTTCATGCAAGCATGGCAATCTGAATATCGGATTGATGGATCGCGCGCGTTTGCATGTGGATTGACGGGTAGTTTGGTGTGGATTTGGAGCCATTTGCATGCATGTGTGATGTGTTGTTTATCTTTCCAGCTGGGCAATGGGGTGTTTGTTCTAAGACTAAAGTTTAGTTCCTGTCACATCGGATGTTCAGATGCTAATTAGGAGAACTAAACATAAGTTAATTATAAAACTAATTACACAGACGGAGACTAATTTAAGAGATGAATCTATTAAACCTAATTAATCTATCATTAGCACATATTTACTATAGCACCACATTGTCAAATCGTGGACTAATTAGGCTTAATAGATTCGTCTCGCAAATTAGTCTCAATCTATGCAATTAGTTTTGTAATTAGTCTATATTTAATACTCCAAATTAGTATTAAACATCCGATGTGACAGGGACTAAAATTAAAACACCCCCTGACGGCCGGCACTCCTCGTCAATCTTGTTAGGTTGTTTGTTGTTTGCTTTTTCCTTGCTTACTACGACTCCTACATATGAACTGCGCTACTATGATTAGACATAACTCGAAAAGGTTCAGTCCCTGCTTCGAGGTAATTGCATGTACTTTCTCACGGATGTGAACTCCTTTTTTTCAGTAAGGCCACGTTTAGTTTCAAAACCAAATTCTCAAAAAGTGCTACAGTAGTCATCACATCGAATCTTGTGATACGTATATGGAGCATTAAATGTAGACGGAAAAAAAAACTAATTACACAGTTTGGTTGGAAATCGCGAGACGAACGTTTTGAACCTAATTAGTCCATGATTGAATACTAATTGCTAAATAAAAACGAAAGTGCTATAGTAGTCAAATTCCCAAAATTTCTCCAACTAAACACAGCCTAAGTAAACGAGCTGCTGAGTAAGCTGATGGCTACGTGTACCTCAAGATGCTCATGCAGTTATATCTGTCTTCATACATGTTTTTAAATTATGTTATACACTACAAATATGAAAAAAAACTAAGCCAAGGTGAACCCATTATCTACTTTTATATTTAATATAAGAGAATTATAAATGAAATGAGTCATGTAAATGTGCTTGACATGCCTGTAGCTCTAGAGATCTAGGATTTTCTAGAGCTACGGATTCCCAGCTCTAGAAATCCACATATTTCTTAGAGTTTGAGCTCTGCCAAGCAAGACCCTAATACGGCACATAATTTAAAACGGAGGGAGTAAATGTTATATTGTTAATTTATATAATAATTTAATACATTTTATAGTCAATGATAAAAAAAGTTTGACTTGGAACTATCCTATATGAATTCATACTCATGACAGGAGGAAGTAAAATGTTTCGTGCCGGCGCGCGAGCAGGGATTTTTTTAGAAAGGAAAATATTTTTTTTGAAAGGAAGCAGGGATTGGTATAAACTGATTAAGAACAAGCTAGATCTTCTTGTTATTACAAGTTTTTGAACTTGCCAGCTGTGCCTGGATAAATTTTTATGTGCTACCTCATCTAGCTAGCTAGGATGAACCTAAGTTAGGTCAATGTACAACGCATCTCTGCTAGGAGCTAATTTAGCTCATGCTGTTTGATGTCCTTGATTACCCAATTGTACATAGGTAAGAGCTAGTATCAGTACAGCCATTGTCTACCCATCAATTAAAGAATCAAACCAATTGGACATTTTCCCCTTTTCTTTCAAGATACGGACTAGATTACACGCATGTTGCTAGTAGGAACTAGGAAATACAACTGTTTCAGATCAATAAATTCTAAGCCTGGAGAATGCGCGTGCTACATCCTCAGTTCCTCATCAGCAGCAGCAGTCTATTGGGCATGTCTGATTACATTTCAACGGGCAGTACGACACCATGACCACTGCTATGCAATTAGGTCAATCAACTAGCTAGGGAATTATTATAATTCCGTTCTGAATTTTTATATATACCTGCTGGGACCAGGAAATCACATGGTTTTCAAAGATTCATCAGTCCTTTTTTTTTCATACATTCTACCATTCATGAACAGGCTGTTTGAATTTGAACTTTGGACTTTGGAGGCAAAAAGGCCATGAGATACCAACTAATCAATGCTCAAATGTATACTAGTATATATGTCCTTACTAGTTTATATTGGACCTTCATTCCTTCAATTCATGCATCTGCATGACAGCATAGATATACCAACTCTTTGAACATTAGTTTGGAAGCCAAAAAAATCATCTCATACTTTGGCAACATCACTTTGTTCGCTAGGCAGGGCCGCAGCATGACTTCAGAGGTCATCAGATCCTAGGAGAAGGAGAAGTTGCCATGAGCGGACATGCATGCGCCGATCCAGCATTTGGCATTCATTCTTGTTGACACTGGTGAGCTATGCAAATTAAACCTTCAGATATCTGTATGTATCGATCTCCTGATAGGCTGATAGACGACAAACCCATCTCAACAAACTCTTTTGCAGATATGTTGTGAACCGGAAATCGCTGCTAACGGCGGTACGCATGGGCATGGCCGGCCATGCAAATCTCCTTGCCGACTGTCGCATGTCGACCATGTACGTAGCTTGACAGGTGGAGATGGCGCCAAGCCAAGTTTCAATAAGTGTCAGCATGGGCATGCAGACATCAGAGAAGCTCCGGCCGTCCTCTTGTGGGAAATGCAGCAGAGTGTCGATAGCACTGCAGCTATCTATAGCTGTCTTGACATATCATCGCCTGAATGCTGTTCCATTCATGCCAATTTCTGCTTCCAGCTGCAGTCATCATAAGCAAGAAATGACAGAGACACTGAAAATTGCAGATACACCACTGAACTGATCTGTCAGCTCCAGCAGAACTCTTGCTGCAACGCAGCATCTTTGCATTGCAGCATCCGTCTGCTAAACAAACACTAGCAAGTACAGTACATTTCCCGTTAGTAATTAGATTAACTACAGGTACATTATGTATACAAGTTGCTCAACTACGTATTTATCATGCATATTGCCATTGCATTGTATGTGTAGCTAGTGAGCGTCATTTCACTGGATCATGTGCCATGTACATGCTCGCAGCTGGTTTGGCACTAGCTTTGGAACCATCTGCATGTGGTCAAGGATAAGGCCGTTAGGTAGTAGGTTAACCTGTTTATTTGGTAGTAACTTTTCTCCTGTCTATATGCATGTATTGTCCTACTATGATTTTGTTTTTTGCGCATATTGTCCTACTATGATTAGACTTAACTGAAAGAGGTTAAGGACTGTAAATTGGACTTACATGCATATGCATGTAACCTAGCAACTAGGATCCCTAGTATTCAGCAGGGACAAAAGACAAGTAGTCCCAGTACTTAAACTTCCCCAGTTGAGCTCTGGAAGAGTTTTTTTTATCTGAATCTCACAGTCACAATTCTCTGATTCTCTCCACACAGTTGACATTTCTTTAAATTGGTCCGAACCTGAATCAGGCAAGTTAGGTCAGGTACAACGTACAACGCACTTGTGGTTGCTTGCTAGCTGTAAACTATTAAGCTAAAATTCATGCCTGTTTGCTATTTTAGTAATTTATGTCCATGTATAGCTTCGTTATAACCATTGATCATATAGCATCAAATTAAATAGGCAAATTAATTTTAATAGTGGCATACATCATACGATTTGTTTTGACCAATTAATGAACGAATGGTGTAAACTGCATTATTGTTCCTTTTACTTGAGATCGATGTGCATGCTGAGTTGTTGTTGACACTACTATTATCGTCCACCAGGGACGAGGAAGCTAGCTAAGCTGGATGGGACAAAATAGCAATAACTAATACAGCAAGGCGAAGTAGATGTCTGAAAGCACAAGCGTTCTCATAGGAGGAGTACATTTGAAGAACAGCGTATGAGCAGTTGGACACTGATGATGAAATGAAGTCCATCCACTGGGGAATTAATTAGATTCCGTTTCAATCTCTCACATTGTTCTGGTTCAACGATCAATCGTTTAATATTCATGTTGTGCCAATGATGAACTGAACATGTTCTTAAATATTGTTTCTGTGGCTTCAGTTCTGCACAAGAGAACATATATACAGAGTACTAATCTTGTTTAGGTAATCCTTGTGGATCTATAGAACAATTGTTAGGATTTTGGAATCATTCCACATTCTTGCCTACGTAGAAGGTAGAAGTAGAACATATATAGAAACAGAAATATTAAACAAGCTCCTGCACCTGTCCTAATGATTGGCAAACTGACAGCAGGTTCAGCAGATGTCTGAACTCTGAACCTTTGTTTGTATTCAGAACCAAGCAGTGTAGCCAGTGGAAACAAATATATTTATTTATATGTCCGGTGCACAGCCGGGAACCAAATAAATCTTAATGTGGCATTATATATTGTTTATTCAGAATTAGTATACGAACAAGTAGCATTATTCCATACACAGCAACAATGTTAAAGAGGAGCAGTGTCATACACAACAACAATTTTGTACTAAATTAAGAGCAGAAGTTTGTCGTTCGTTCCCAAACGAACGAAAGCTCAACATTCAGAGGGATTCGCCACTCGAATTGCTTCAACAAACCCCAACCACGTTAACCCTTTGGTTAACTTGGAATTATGACATCCAACCGAGTAAATAGAACTTACACTTACCCCCATACACATATTGACTGTACGTACGTACGTATACGTAACTGTATGTATACATATGCATATACGGATCAGCTAGATTAATTGTACTTGGGCGTTGGTTGCATTGACGAACAGAGCGCAGCTCGTAGTCGTAGGTGCTGGGATTGATGGAGCTCATGTCCAGAGCGCCTCGTCGGCCCAGCTGTCGGGGCTGGCCTGCATCTGCAAGGCAGCACCGGCGCCGTCGACGACGTAGAGCGCGTCGGCGGCCATCATGGGGTTGGCGACGACCGCTAGCTGATGATGCGAGGAGGAGGAGTAGTCGGCGGCGCCACAGTAGGACGTCGGTGAGGCGGTGGCGCCGGCGGCGACCTCGACGCAGAGGAGCGCGAGGAGGTGCGCGTGCTGGGCGCGAGCGCCGGCGAGCTCGGCTTGGGCGCGCGCCAGCTGCGCCTTGAGGTCGTTGACCTGCTTCTGCAGCTGGCAGATGGCGCCGGCGCAGCCGTAGACGGGGTCCCGGATGCGCGCCGCCGCCTCGTACACCATGCTGCTCACCGCGTCGGCGCGGTGCTCCACCGGCAGCTCCTGCATGTGCATGCATGCTCCATCGGTCAGTCGTCATGCTCATGCATGCGTGTGCTTGCTGCACACACAATGGTGAGAATGGATCAGATAGACGGCTGACCTGGAGGAGCTTGATGATGTTGCTGGCGCCGAAGACCCGGTGCGCGGTGGCGAACTTGTGCGGCTCGGTGGGCGGGAAGTAGGGCGCCAGCACGCAGCGGTCGACGCAGCGGCGGCGGAGGATCTTGCACGCGGCGCACGGGCTCAGCACCACCGCCGCCGCCGCCTGTGGCGACGATGGAGGTGACGGCGCCGCCGCTGCGGCCACGGCCACGGCGCAGGCGGCCGTGTCGCTGGAGCAGTCCATTTAGCTGCTTGCTGTGTGGCACACAACGGCCGGCCGGCACCGATCGAACCTGAGGAGCTTGGATGGAGCTGGAGATGGCTTCCGAGTTTGGCGGCAACGAGTGTATTTATATAGTGGTGAAGAGTGGGCAGGATAGCTTGGCTTAGGACTTAGTAAGAGCTAGCAGGACTAATGGCCTGTCAGTGCCAGTGCCAGCTAAGGCGCCAAAGATTCGTTCGACCCATTCAATTCTCGCCATAGTTACGTTGAAGGTCCAACAAGTGAGGCACTTGGCTTCTCTTACTCCTACTGGAAAGGCTGTCTGTTTGGTCCCCATGAAATTCTTTTAGCTTCCATCATTCCGTGGCGAAATGCCTGAGTGCCTAGCTAGATAGCTATGTTTGACGTGCTGGAACAACCAAAATCTAAGGAATCACCACCCAAAATGGCAAAAAAAACTCATGACCCCGAGTATTTGAGCGGCTCAGGGTACAGAAAATCCAAAAAACTCGTTATTTACGGAGCTGAAACTGCCCTTAGAACGTCTCTCGCTCGACCGTTCTGGGAGCCCCAAAAAGATGAAACCGGCGAGCTAGCTCACGAAAGATGAAAACGAGAAAATCGGCCTGACAACACGGGACATAAAAAAACTACATGTGGTTGAGTGCCGAGGTAGCCATATGTCACCGGCGGCACAGTGACGACCACTACTGATATCTCTGAACCGATGACGGCAAGACAAGAGATGAAGTCCTGAAGAGCCGGCGGGAAGGAGCATAGAAGTCAAACATATGAAGAAGCCCAGTAATAAAGTCTTTGGGCCGGACTGGACCATCTAAAGCGGACCCTGTGTGGCCCAGACGTGAGGGCAGCCCATTGTGGCCCCTTTGTAAATAACAGAGGAGTAGGGAAGGGAAACTGGACAAGGACTAGGAACTGACCGTGCCTGAGGGCGACGGCGGCGGCGTGCGGCGATCTTGTTGATCGGCCGGCGGTGACCGTATTTACCCACATACCCTATCATATTATAGTCAATATATCATAGTCTGGTTACATCTAGAATGCCTCTCGATCCTTGGTTCTTTGGATTTCCGCATACCATTGATCGAAATCGCAAACGCTTCGGGTTCGATTGAGATCCTTGGAGGGTAGTGAGCTGCCGCCGCCAGTGATTTCTCGGTAATTCCCAAGCACGCGAATCGATTTGTGGGGAAATTCGTGACTCTAGCATCGCATCAGTACCTCACCCGAAGACAGATGGCCTCCATCTCTAAGGAAGAGCAGTTGGGGCAAATCGTGGCGTTGCTGGGAGAAAACTCCAAGGGAATCAACGAGCTCAAGAGTTCGATGACGGAGATGACTGCGATGAAGACGGATTTGTTGCTGTGGAAGCCCGAAGTCGACAACAGAGTTCATGAGCTCGAGCACGCTGTGCTGAATCTGGGGGAGCGCATCGAGAAAGTTTTGGGATCTCGGATTTCGCTGGCCCAACCTCTAGAACCAACCCATGGGGAGCAATCTGGGGAAATCACCATCGCTCAACCCTCGCTCACCACGGCAAATCGGGGGGACCACTTCACCTCTCCGAGCGTCAAGGCGCCGAGCTCTGCTCATCTAGAGTTTCACCCGTCAAGGGCGACACCTGGGTCGTTAGACCACGGCAAGCGAACTTCTCACCGGGGTGCTGATTTCGGGGCAGTGTACACCATTGCCCCGGAACCGGCCCTGGTCACAGGCGCGACACCAACTCTCCCTAAATCCACCCCTGTTCTACTTCATACTTATGACTTTGGGCACTGGGATCGGCTACACTACTCACACTACCCACCCCTCACACCCTTTCCTGAAGTTGAATTCCATAAGTTTGATGGCTCTAACCCACGTTTGTGGATTAAACGCTGTGAAATATACTTTGATGTCTATCAAACTGATCCAAGTCTTTGGGTTCGCTTAGCTACTATGCGTCTTGTGGGTTCTGCAGCACTTTGGTTTCAGACTATGCAAACTGCCATCAGTAAAATGTCATGGGAATCCTTTGTTGTAGCTCTCTGCAATAGGTTTGACAAAGATGAACACAATCATCTGTTGCACCATTTCTTTCATATTAAGCAAACCACTACAGTCTCTGAATATGTCGAACAATTCAGTGACATTCTCCATCAGTTATTAGCCCATGATCCATCTTTTCCTGCTACCGTTATTACAAACCGCTTTCTTGATGGCCTTAAAAAGGATGTACGTGCAGTGGTTATGATGCACAGACCTCAAGATTTGGATACTGCTAGCTCTTTGGCCTTTTTGCAGGAAGAAGCTTCTCAAGACCAACCTATCAGGAGATCTGATTTGGGCTCTTACTCAAAGGGAAACAATCAAGACTCTGTCAAAGCACCTTTTGCAACCCCTCCTAATTTTGAAAGAGTTGTCGAAGAGAAGAAGCCACTTGATCTTGGCAAGACCAGGCATACAGGGGAGGATAAATTGACTGCTTTGAAGAATTATAGAAGATCCAAAGGCTTGTGTTTCAAATGTGGAGAAAAATGGGGACCCAACCATAAGTGTCCTCCTTCTATATCTCTCAATGCTATAGAAGATATCTGGAAATGTATTGCTGATCATGAAGATCTAGTACCAACAATAGAAGTTGTAGAGTCTGACTCAGGAGATGATCTGATGGCTATATCTATACAAGCTCTGAATGGCATTGAAGGCTCTAGAACAATCAGACTGAGAGGTAACCTTCAAGGAAAAGAAGTATTTATGTTGATTGATTCTGGAAGCTCAAATAGCTTTGTCAGTGATCTGGTTACAGCTAATGTTTCTCCATGGTAGCCACTATCTCAGTCAGTAATTGTAAGAGTAGCTAATGGAGAGGTTCTGTCTTGTACTCATGAGCTACGTGATCAAGTCTGGGGCACACAAGGGCATTCTTTCTGTACAACACTGAAAATCATTCTAATCAGAGGCTATGATATCATATTAGGCATGGACTGGTTGGAAACCCACAGCCCTATGAAAATTCATTGGGTGGATAGATGGTTACAATTCTCCTATCAAGACAAGCTCATAACTCTTCAAGGCATTCCTACTGATGTTCAATTAGGAACTCCAGTTACTCACAATCAGTTGCTCGCCTTTGACAAGACAGACTCCATATTATATTTGGTACAAATTCAAGCACTAGAACCTGCTGCACCTCAAGAACCATCATTACCTCTGGATCTTCAACACTTGTTGGAACAATTCAAGTCAGTCTTCGAGCCTCCAACCACACTTCCACCTTCCTGGTTGGGTGACCACTCCATTCCATTATTAGATGGCGCTCAACCATTTTGCCTCAGACCTTATCGCTACAACCCCGCCTAGAAGACAGAGATAGAGAATCAGATAGCTGACATGCTCCAGAAGGGATGGATTCAAGCTAGTACAAGCCCTTATTCATCTCCTGTCTTACTGGTACGCAAGAAAACTGGCGATTGGCGTTTATGCGTTGATTTTCGCAGACTGAATGCACTGACTAAGAAGAACAAGTACCCCCTGCCTATCATTGAAGAACTTCTAGAGGAATTACATGGTTCTTCTTGGTTCACATCTCTTGACCTTTGCTCTGGGTTTCATCAAATACGCATGGCCCCTGGGGAAGAGTTCAAAACAGCATTCCAGACTCATAATGGACACTATGAGTACAGGGTCATGCCGTATGGAGTCACAGGAGGTCCAGCAACATTTCAAATAGTTATGAATCTGATTCTGGCTCCCTTACTCAGGAAATGTGTGGTTGTCTTTATAGACGACATTCTCATTTATAGTAAATCCTGGGAAGATCATGTTTTGCATATACAAGAAGTTCTCAGTATACTGCAACAAAACAGTTTCCATGTTAAGATGTCCAAGTGCTTATTTGCAAAACAACAGTTATCTTATCTGGGCCGCATTGTCAATGAGCAAGGTGTCGCCACAGATCCTTTCAAGATAGCCTCTATCAAAGATTGGCCACAACCACAGAACATAAAGGAATTACACAGTTTTTTAGGCATGGTGGGATATTACAGAAGATTTGTTTCACAGTTTGGACTTCTATGCAAACCTCTTACTAACTTGTTAAAAAAGGGAACTCTGTTTGTGTGGACCTCAGAAACTGAAGCTGATTTTCAGGCGCTCAAGAAGGCATTGATTTCAGCACCGGTTCTGGCATTACCAGATTTCAACTTGCCTTTCATCATTGAAACAGATGCCTCAGCCAAAGGCATTGGTGCTGTCCTACAACAGCAAGGTCACCCAATTGCATATGTGAGTAAAGAACTAGGAGTTAAGGCTCAAGGATTTTCAACATATGAGAAGGAGTGTTTGGCCATCTTAATGGCGGTGGATCATTGGCGTCATTATTTGCAATCTTCCTCTTTCACCATACTCACTGATCAGAAAAGTCTAATTCACTTAGATGATCAGAGACTATCCACTCCTATCCAGCACAAGGCATTAACCAAATTAATGGGTCTCTCATATCAAATTGTTTACAAAAAGGGCGTGGATAACAAAGTAGTGGATGCTCTCTCACGAGTATCTCAGGCTCCATATTATGATATCTCTGCTATCTCCACTGTGCGCCCACTTTGGCTTCAAGAGATTCAAGATTCTTATTCAGCAGATTCTCAAGCTATTAAGCTATTATCTAAACTCTCTATTTCCTCTCCAAGTGGTCTCAGATTCACCAAGGATGGCCTCATTCGCTACAAGGAAAGAATTTGGGTGGGTCATCAACCTGCTTTTGCGCCTAAGATCCTATCCTCTCTCCATGCCAACGCTATTACGGCCACTCCAGTTATGAGGTCACTTATAAGAGAGTCAAACATCTATTTGCATGGTTCAAGCTTAAACAATCATGTCCAAGACTTTGTTGCCCAAAGTTGCACTATCATCGCCAAGCTAAGGCCGAGAGAGTGGCTTATCCAGGTCTGTTGGCACCTTTACCATTCCTGACCATGCTTGGCATACTGTAACTCTTGATTTCATAGAGGGTCTTC